ACATACCGATAAAAATATAAAGATGCGCGCCTCTATACACACATACATGCATACAGACATGCATACATACATGCGTGCATGCGTACACACACATACGTACAATCATGCATACATGCATATATACATACCCACCTACTCACCGACCTACATACCAACCTGCCTACCTGCATGTCTGTCTGCCTGCATACATACCTATAAACTGACAAACACACACACACACACACCACAATACATTACAACACATTACATTACATTACATTACATTACATTACAGTACACTACACTACACTACACTACAATACATTACATTACATTACACTACACTACACTACACTACACTACACTACACTACAATACATTCATTACATTACAATGCATTACATACATACATACATACATACATGCATGCATGCATGCATGCATACATACATACATACATACATACATGCATGCATGCAAGCATACATACATACATGCATACGTGCGTGCGTGCGTGCGTGCGTGCATACATGCATACATGCATACATGCATACATGCATACATGCATACATACATACATGCATGCATGCATGCATGCATGCATGCATGCATGCATACATACATACATACATACATACATACATACATACATACATACATAAGCGGCTGGGATTTGAGCAATGAAGAGAACCCACACCCTGAGAAATCAACTGCTATTCGCACAGAGGCGACGGTCACAACCAGCCTCCCTGGAGAGGGGGGAAGTGTTGCACCTGGAGGGGGGAATGTGGTACAGCTGGGACTCTACCTGTGGAGGCAGCTTCCAATGGAGGCGGCCCGACGCGTCATGGCGGATCTCCCAAGGCTCTCCAGGGGTCTCAAGAGGGCCGAGGAGGGCCATCAAGGTCGCCTAGATGGCCAAATATTGTCCCGAGAAGCACCACGAGCCCACGAGAAGACCGCAGGAGACGCCGACGCGGCACCAAGGGGCTTCCAACACATCGACGAGAAGGCCAGGAAGCACTCCATGAATACCTCAATCAAAAATAACAACAAAAAACAACAGCACAGCCTTCTGAAATTGTGTGTTTTCTGGTTCTCTCGGCTCGGTAAGGTTCCAAGAGGCCTCGGTGAAGCCAAAGAAGCCGAAAGAGCGCAATCAGGCCCCCATGTCCTCTGGCAGGCGGCCCAGGACAGCTTCCAGAGGGAAGATGTCCCTATAGAGAGAGAGCCCCTGAAAGCTCACGAGACAGTGACGGCCGAGAGAGGCCCAAGACAACAAGAAGACGGCACAAAAAGTCTCAAGACGACTCGACATAATCCAAGCCAGCCTTAAGCGTTTCTCGCTCCGGATCGATCCCCGTGCGGGTCCCCAGGTGCGACAAGAGGCAAAACCACCGTTGTGGAAGAAATGCGACGCCAGGATCTCAGTGCTCGGGGATCTGCTGACCCAGGTCAATGCACACCCTTGCCAGTCGGGCCTTGCAAGATCCTGGAAGCTCCTGCAGCATCCTGCAGGATCCTGCGCGCTGACCTGGGTCAGTGCAAGCCTGGCTCTTCGGGGATGGACAGAACCCACTTTAGTAAATCGTGGTTTAGTGAAAACGACCTCGGGCCCAAACCTGGCGGCGCAAGCCTTGAAAATGACGGCCGCGGCGCCCTCTCAAGAAACGAAAACGGACAAGTCACTAATCGACGTGTCAGGGTGGGAGTTCTGTCCACCCCTGAGCTCTGCAGGACCCTTCAAGATCCGGCGCCCTGGCTGACCCCAACTTGCATTGACCCCCGTCCCGAGGCTCCCCAATGGGGTCCAGGTGGACGGGGTCGGACCGCGCCGCCTCGCCGACGCATCGACGGCGTGGCTCCATGCGGAGCTCGATCTTCCCCACGCCGGCGTCGCCGACGTCGCCGATCTCGGGATCTCGGTGTCTCTGGGGAAGCAAGGCGGACCACCCCGCCTGGGGTGCGTTCGGACCAAAAGTTCGAGGCGAATCCAGCGGTGGCAACGGGGGCCTCCCAGGAGGCCCACCAACAAGGCGAAAACGAGGCCAGGGTGGCGGCATGGGTACCTCCTCCTCCTCCTCCTCCTCCTCCTGCTCCCCCTCTCCTCCTCCTCCTCCTCCTCCTCCTCCTCCTCTTCCAGCCCCTCCTCCTCCTCCTCCTCCTGCTTCTTCTCCTCCTGCTTCTTCTCCTCCTGCTTATCCTCCTCCTCCTCCTCCTCCTCCTCCTCCTCCTCCTCCTCCTCCTCCTCCTCCTCCTCCTCCTCCTCCTCCTCCTCCTCCTTCCTCCTCCTCCTCCTCCTCCTCCTCTTCCTCCCCCTCCTCCAGCCCTTCCTCCTCCTGCTCCTCCTCCTGCTCCTTTTCCAACCCCTGTCGGGCGCCGCGGCCAGCACGCGCCATATCTCGCGCCGCCCGCGCGGCGGGCCAGGGCGGGCGGGCTGCGGAGCGCGCCCGGCCCGAGCCAGGGGCCGCCAGAGGCGGCCGCGGCCCGGGGCGGGATCGGTCAGCACCGCATCGGGAGGTCGTCGGATGGCAGCGGCCAGCGACGAGCCCGGGCGGGGAGTCGTCGTTATCGTTATCGGCATCGCCCCTCCTCCTCCTCCTCCTCCTCCTCCTCCTCCTCCTCCTCCTCCTCCTCCTCCTCCTCCTCCTCCTCCTCCTCCTCCTCCTCCTCCCCTCCGCCTCCGCCTCCACCTCCTCCTCCTCCTCCTCCTTCTCCTCCTCCTCCTCCTCCTCCTCCTCCTCGGGTCCCTCTTCCTCCTTGGAGGCGCGCGTCCGACCCGAATCTATAGTATACCCATCTTGTAGTATATCGTATCCCGAGCGGCGTGGCCAGAATGCGCCCGCCACGACGCATACACTGCAAGAGTTCTTGGTGCGCGCGTCGCCCCTGGGGGGGCGACGCACATGTAGTATAAGTATATCGGGGTGACGCCGACGGGAGGTCGGCGGAGTGCAGCGGCCAGCGGCGAGCCTGGGCGGGGAGTGAGAGGAGGCGGGCCTTCGCAGAGGGCTCGGAAGGCGTCTGGCCTTCTGAGAAGCTTCTGAGCCTTTCCCGAAGACACGGAAGACTGCTCAGAAGGCGCGAGGGCTTCTGAGAAGCCCCGCCGCCTGATGAGAAGGCCTCCTCCTTCTCGCTCCCCCACCCCGCTAGCCGCCGAATCGGAGCCTGCGTCGGACCTAGACCCCCTAGCGTCGTGAAAAAAACGCGACGGATGATTTTTCGCACATTTGGGCTTCCAGAGGCCCTTACTGGGCCTCGGGGCCGTCGAAAAACTACTCAGGATGAAAAGCCAGTCCCCAGGACGTGGTCCAGGCTTCTTGGGGTCCACGTTACGAAACATGCATGACGCCGGGGGTCTGAGTATCGGGCTGCATCGACACGGAGTAGAGCTCGAACCAGATCAGCTGCACCAGGATGCACATCAACGCCATGCAAGCATGAGGCCGCATCGGGTCGTCGTAACATCGGAGTCGAATAATACGACAGGGCCAAATCGGGTCGGTCGGATCGAAATGGACCCTACAAGGTGACCCCATGCCAGTCCCTGGGAGGCCGAGGTGGTCACACCATGCGATCATGGCACCCCACAGTAGGACCAGCGGGGGCCCATCGAGTCCCAAAGCTTGTTTCGTGACGTAGGAGAGGAGATCTGGCATCCCAGCGACGAGGCAACTCGATGAGGCCAGTCCGAGTTGAAATTCCCAACCTGGCCCAAAACCTGAGGGGAGCTTGGGTCTGGATCACCTCTGGCAACCTCTGACCAACCCAGACCTCCGACGTTTCTTTTTTGTCACGACACGGGCCTCCAGGATGTCTGGCCCCCTTCCCCGGGGTCGGCCCTTCACCCCAAGTCGCTTCTTGGCGGCCCCGGGGCACGGTGAGGGACCCCAAGGGCCGAAAACGGCCAAAAGCCTTCCGTCGAACTTCTGTCGCGACGGGACCCTGAGATCCAGCGCTGCGATAAAAAACGCGGCACCGCGAAGAAAAACCACGACCAGAACCTTAGACCCCATCTTCCTGCGTCATTTCCTCCAGCCAGATCGATCTGTGATGGCCCCCGGCACCCAGGGACGGGCGGGCAAGCCCGTTGCAAACAGATCAGCGCGCCCAGATCTCGGGGGAGGGGGTCCGTGCTTCGGCTGGGACCGCCGCTGGCAGCCCCCCTTGTGCGGGGCAACGATGGGGGGTGGGGGACAGCTCGGAGGGAGAAGCAGGGATCTGGAATCGGCAATGCGTCGCCGACAGGTCGGCGATGGGCCCCCGACAGCGAAACGGCACGCTCGTGGGCGGGGTGGGCTGTCGAGCCCCTTATCGGCGATCCATGCGCGAGAGGAGGTCGATGCGCCCGCCCCCCCCCCGGGAGCCTGAGCCCATCCCCCCCCTAACTCAGAGGAAGAAAAGGTACCCACACCGCCACTCTTCGCCCCTCTTTGGCTGAGCCCATCCCCCCCCTAACTCAGAGGAAGAAAAAGTACCCATACCGCCACCCTTCGCCCCTCTTCCCCCTTTTGGGCCTCCTGGAGGGCCCTCGTCGCAACCGCCGGATTCGCGCCAAAATCCAGGTCAGGACGCGCCCCTGGAGAGGTCAGGGGAGGAGCGGTTTCGGTGCCCTTGCGTTATTTTGCTCCTATCGTACTTAAGGACCGCATCCTAGAGACAATTTCGAGCACCCAGAGAGGCATCGAAAAAGTGTCGGACGAGTATCGCCTCGCGGGGCCCGACACGCGAAAGCCCTCCAGATTCGACACCGTCTTGGTGCTCGAAATGCTTCCTGGTGATCGAGGCCGAAGCAGGCTGGAACATCATAACCCTTGCCCCACCCCCCCTCGCGTGGCCCCTGGCCGGGCCACAGGTCGCCGCGCCGGCGGGGCCTGGCAGGGGGCCCCCGCCGCGCCGCGCTCGCCCGGCCGCGGGTCGCCGAGAGGGCGCGCGGCGTGGGCCGAGCGCCGCGGGGCGCTCAGGCGAGGTCCTCGCCGTTGAGGATCTTGAGGGCCTCCTGCAGGGACTCGATCTCCTCCTTACGCCTCGGGGGCGCGCAGGGACGCGACCAACGGACAGCACACTCTTCGTGGCGGCCGGGCAGAGCGGCTGCGCTGGCGGAGAGAGCATACAGAGGGCCTACAAATGCAAATTAAGCCGCGATGCACGTGGGGGGGGAGAGGAGGAAGGCTCGGCGCGGGCGGGAAGGAGAGGAGGCCGAGCACGAGCAACACACACATCCATACCCATAGGGGGGATGAACGGGGCTATGGGTGCGTGTTGTCGGATGGGGGGTCCCCGCTCGAACGGCAGCCTCCCCGAGGGTCCGACAACCCGCACCCATACCCATGGCCGGTCATCCTCCCTCCGACCTCCCTATCGGTGTGGGTGGGTGGTGTTCGCTAGTCGGGAAATTTGGAGGCTCGCACAGTGAGCAACGCTTCACCTATGCCTCTCCCACCTGGCATGGCCTTGATCCCTCTGACCACTTTCCTGGCCAGATGGGGATCGTATCGATGCTGTTCCCCTCGGGTTTCGCGGAGCCTACACCCATCTTGGGGGAAGGAGGGTCTGGCGGGGCTGAGATACATACCATAGCCCAGTGGGGATAGGGATCGGATAAACGATGCTGACACAAGGGGGTGGCGCGAGGGGCCTCCTCAGAAGCCCTACTGGCTGCTCTGAAGGCGTCTTTGAAGCCCCCAGGGCCTTCTGAGCAGGCGGGGGGTCTCTTCGAAGGCGGGGGCCTTCTTAGAAGGCACTGGAAGTCTCTAAGAGGGCTTAGGAGAGAGCGTCTAAGGAGGACCCCCGCCTTCTAAGCAGTACACCGCCCTCTTCGAAGGACCCCCCCCCCGCGCCACACCCTCGTGCGCTGCCGCCAAGAGATGGTGTCAAGCTGCTGCCACCCCTGAAATCCGGACGCAGCGCAATCTTCTCGCGCTGGGTGCTCTCGCCCCGTCTCGGGCCCGGAGGCCATCACAGGTCGATCCGCGTCGACAAGGACAGTCCGAAGATGGGGCTCAGGGCTCGGGTCGTGATTTGTCGCGAGGTTGCCGTTTTGTCGCAAGGTCGGACCTCCTGGACAGGGCCCGCCAAACGAGGAGCGAAGCCCCACTTTGGCCCCAACAGCGCCCGGGTGCACGAGGAGCGCTGGGGGAGCAACCATGGAGGGACCTACGGAGCAGCAAGCCCCTTCTCACCCCGAACAGTTCCTTTGTTCCAGCGTCCTTAGGAAAACGATAACTGGCACAGTCAAGCGCCTGCAGTCAAGACTCGAGGCATAATAACCAGCATAAACAAAATTTCTCGGAGGACCGCGCGGACTTCTTAGGTCGGCTCTGGACCCTCCTCCCTGGCGCGCGCAGCGCGCCGAGGGCAGCGCTGAACTGCCAGGGGGGCCCAGCGCCGATCCAGGAAATCTGCGCGGACCTCCGAGAAAACTTATGTTTATGCTGGTTATTCTGCCTCGAGTCTTGGACTGCAGGCGCTTCGAGCGGCGTGCTAGAAAAGGCCAAGGGGAGGGACGGATATAGCGATCCTGCTGCGGGGAGTCGTGAGCCGAAATGCCACGATCCTCGAGAGGGGCGTGCCGAAATGAAGCTTCGGTGGAGCTCCCTATGGGGCCAGGGCCACGATCCTTGAGAGGGGTGTGCCGACATGAACCTTCGGTGGAGCTCCCTGTGAAGCCAAGGCCACGATCCTCGAAAGGGGTGTGCTGAAATGAAACTTTGGTGGAGCTCCCTGTGGGGCCAGGGCCAAGATCCTCGAGAGGGGTGTGGAGCTCCCTGTGCGGCCAGAGCCACGATCCTGAGGAGGGGTATGCCGAAATGAACCTTTGGTGGAGCTCCCTGTGCGGCCAGGGCCGCCATCCTCGAGAGGGGTGTGCCGAAATGAACCTTCGGTGGAGCTCCCTGTGAAGCCAAGACCAAGATCCTCGAGAGGGGTGTGCCGAAATGAACCTTCGGTGGAGCTCCCTGTGAGGCCAAGGCCACGATCCTCGAGAGGGGTGTGCTGAAATGACCCTTCGGTTGCTGGTTGCTGGTTGCTGGGGGGGGGCGGGCAACAAGGTCACGTGTCAATCAACAACAACCACGACGACGATGACGACGACGACGACGACGACGACAACGACGACGGCCGGCGGCGGCGACGACGACGACGACGCCAAACACGACCAGCACCACCACCACCAACACGGGGACTACGACGACGACGACGACGACGACCAGCAGCACCACCACTACGGGGACGACGACGACGACGACGACGACGACGACGACGACGACGACGACAACAACAACAACAGCAACAATCATTTTAAGACTGTTCGCCCTTTTCTGCTCGAGTGTCCAACAGCGCGTATTTCCCAAACCCTCGATACCCGCCCTCTTCGTCTTCGATCGAACCCCTTTTGGGGAGTATACCTTTCTTCCCTGCAGGCCGGACCCCGGCAAGCGGCGGGGCGGCCGCGGACCGTCGGCCTGGCCAGCGGCAGCGCTGATCGGCGGGGCGGCCGCGGACCGTCGACCCGACCCCAAAGGGACGGACAGGGGACCGACCACGACGACGACGACGACGACGTCGACGACGACGGCGACGACGACGACGACGACGACGGCGACGACGACGACGAGCGAAAGCAAGAGCGAGCGAGAACGACAGCAGGGCCACAAGGACACGAAGTAGGCCACGAAGGGCGACAGCGGGGACACGAAGGGAATGCGTATGGGGCCACGAAGAGCGCAAACGAGCGGGGGCCACGAAGGGCAGATAATGCGGGGCCACAGAAGGCAACGATGGGGCCACTAAGGGTAACAACTTGGCCACGTAGGGCAATGAGGGGGCCACAAACGGCGACAGCGGGGCCACGAAGGGCATGCACATGGGGCCACAACGGGCGCGAACGAGCGGGGATAACGAAGGGCATACGTATACTGGGCCGCGGAGGGCAAGGACGGGGCCACTGAGGGCAGCAACGGGGCCACGAAGGGCAGCGAGGGGGCCACGAAGGGAGACAGCGGGGCCACGAAGGGCATGCATATGGGGCCACCACGGGCGCGAACGAGCGGGGACCACGAAGGGCATACATATATGGAGCCACGAAGGGCAGCGATGGGGCCACGAAAGGATGCAACGGGGCCACGTAGGACAATGAGGGGGCCACGAAGGGCTGCAACGGGGCCACGAAGGGAATGCGTATGGGGCCACGAAGGGCAGCGAGGGGGCCACGAAGGGCAGCGAGGGGGCCACGAAACAAAGCGAGGGGGCCACGAAGGGCTGCAACGGGGCCACGAAGGGCAGCGAGGAGGCCACGAGGGGCTGCAACAGGGCCACGAAGGGCAGCGAGGGGGCCACGAAGGGCTGCAACGGGGCCACGAAACAAAGCGAGGGGGCCACGAAGTGCTGCAACGGGGCCACAATGGGGCAGCGAGATCCCGGTTCCTAGGTAATCTGCGAGGGAGTCCTAAGCGTGAGCGCGACTCCTGAGTGCCTGGGTGTCGGGAGCGTGGCGCTTGACTGAATCCCACCAGCCCTCTGGGCGTAGGTGGTTTAGAGAGTTTCCTTTTCCACCCCTCCTTCCCCTTCGGGGAGGGGTTTACCCCTCCCCCTACCCCCTTTCCTGGACCTGGAGGGGGGGGGGTCGCGAGTCGTCAGGGCGTCCAAAACGGCCTCGGCGAGGAAGCCAAAATCCGCCGGCCCCCTTGTGGGGCCACCAGGCTGTAGGAGCGAGGTTCGCAGTTTCCTGTACCAGTTGTAGCTTGTAGTTTCCAGTGTTACAGTTCTGCTTCTTGCTGGTTACTGTAACTAATTGACTTATTGCTGGTTACTGTAACTAGTTGATTGACCGCGCGAGGGGGGGAGAGGCCCAAAGTAGCTTTTTAGCGTCTCCTGGGCGCGTTGTCTGAATTGCTGGGGGGGCTCGAAATCGACACCCCTCACGCAGATCCGCGGGGTCAGGGTCCAAAAACACAAGGGATTTACCACATTTCTGAAATTCGGTGCCACCCCTCACGCAGATCCGCGGGGTCAGGGTCCAAAAACACAGGGGATTTGCCACATTTCTGAAATTCGGTGCCACCCCTCACGCAGATCCGCGGGGTCAGGGTCCAAAAACACAGGGGATTTGCCACATTTCTGAAATTCGGTGCCACCCCTCACGCAGATCCGCGGGGTCAGGGTCCAAAAACACATGGGATTTGCCACATTTCTGAAATTCGGTGCCACCCCTCACGCAGATCCGCGGGGTCAGGGTCCAAAAACACATGGGATTTGCCACATTTCTGAAATTCGGTGCCACCCCTCACGCAGATCCGCGGGGTCAGGGTCCAAAAACACATGGGATTTGCCACATTTCTGAAATTCGGTGCCACCCCTCACGCAGATCCGCGGGGTCAGGGTCCAAAAACACAAGGGATTTGCCACATTTCTGAAATTCGGTGCCACCCCTCACGCAGATCCGCGGGGTCAGGGTCCAAAAACACAGGGGATTTGCCACATTTCTGAAATTCGGTGCCACCCCTCACGCAGATCCGCGGGGTCAGGGTCCAAAAACACATGGGATTTGCCACATTTCTGAAATTCGGTGCCACCCCTCACGCAGATCCGCGGGGTCAGGGTCCAAAAACACATGGGATTTGCCACATTTCTGAAATTCGGTGCCACCCCTCACGCAGATCCGCGGGGTCAGGGTCCAAAAACACAGGGATTTGCCACATTTCTGAAATTCGGTGCCACCCTTCACGCACATCCATCGCAAGGCGTGGTAACCCAAACTGCGAGAACTCCCTCGGCCCTTTAATCGCAAGGTGTGGTAACCAAGCCCGTAAACCATACACGTCTTACCAATCGCCAGGTGTGGTAACCCCTCTTGTGATCAGTTGGTTTTGCTGATTGCGAATCGGCTTCGCATGAAGTTTCGATACTGCTTCACGACAGCGCCAAGGCCTCATGACTTAGCTCTTCCATGGCCCATTCTCCGAGAGAGGGGGCCGGCGGCAGGGGGCGAAGCCCTTACTGATCATTGATTGTACTAAGGTTTTGGCCC